AAAAAGGAATGAAAAATATTTATTAGGCCCCAGTCTTTTGTTCAGTTGTAAACAAGTCTAATCTGAGGAATAAACAATAACTTTTAGACTTGATAAATTCCCTATAACCCCCTATCTTATCGTAAATTATTAGGAAGTTCAGAAGCTAGTATATGAGAGTTATAAAATTTTGATAAATTGCTAAAGTTAATAATAAGCTCATTTGTACTGTAGAATTTAATTATTATTGATTATATTTGAATTTATTAGATTCTAGATTATGAATTGATTTACTTATAATATATGTTTATCCTGAATTAATAATTAGTCCTATATCTTACATTATAGGTTCTGGTTGATATTCGGAAGAATAATAGTTGAGAAAGTCGTAACCACTTGAGGTGGGTTCATTTCTCACTAGTATTTTATAATATGAAATTGCATGAGTTTTATATTTGATTTATCTTGTGATAAAAAAATAATAATAAATAATATGTATTTTCATGTATATAAAGATTTGACCTATTTCTGTTGTGGTCTATCCTATAATACGATGTTAGCCTCGAACAATATATGAAAAGCCAATTTAATCTTTATGTAAAATATGAAAAAATAAATTTGGCTCTCATGAAATTTTCAAATAATTGTGGATTTTGTTTTATGTGAAGGTTTTTGATAAAGTATTTAGAACGTATTTCAACAGTTTAACGGATTCAAAGATTTTCCATAACTTAGTATCTGATAAAAGAAAAAAGTAAATATCTGTAAACTGCTTTAACTGAAATGAGAAGCTTAACCAAGCTAATTTCATTTGAAAATATCTGTAAATTCTGATATGCAAAGTATTACTCATTTGACATGTGATCTCGATGTTTTCAAACCCTTAAATAGTCCACTATGGATTCATTATGCCTGTCATATGGTGAATGCATCTTTATTTGGCCCTTCTGTATTAGCCTTGGTCCTTCTGTATTGGCCTTGGCCCTTCTGTATTGGCCCTTCTGAAGTTTGTTCTGGCCCCTCTGTATTTGGCCAGTAACCTATGGCAGTATTAGGTGCATTCGATTCCCAAGAATTATCTATTATGTAATGCGGTTTATGCATTCCCTTGTTACTGTGCTATAATTCGTAGCCTTAGTGTGACCTATGGGGTGACTTTTACATTCATGAATAACTCATCGAGAAATAAGATTCTGATAATTGATTGTGAATTGAGAAAACAACAATTCTCTGGTTTTGTACAAATTAGTAGTACTTTTCCTTCATAATGTTTACCTTGATTTAAAAAGGGTTTAATTCCAAGAAACTTCACGGTATATTCAGTTGCACATGAGAAAGAAAATATAATTGTTGTATTTTTTTTCTTAAAAATGACAATATTACGATATTTGGATCGTATTTTGCTATCTTTTGAATTTCTCATGCAAAAATTTGAAATTCGTTGTTTCTGAGAATTATTCTTATGACTATTTTGTTAGTTCTCCAGGAACTCTAGTAGGAAATGTTCTCACTGAGCGCTAGCTCATTCCGTTGTTTTTAAATTTTTTCAGATCCGGCGTAGCTTCATACTAGCTGAACTTTTGATTTGGGCTTTTGGCTGAGAGGCGTTATATGGAGAGCCTCTTCTTCTTGATGTTACCTTCAGCACAATTTGTTTTGTTTTGTAAAAATGTTTATAACGGTGAGTTTGTAGGCTGTAAGTACCGATCATATATATAGTTGCTCTGACTTCTTGTTAGACCCTAGAGGGGGGGTGATTAGGGTCTTATTCTAATCTAATCCGATTAAATGCCAATTAAAACTAATTAACAAATATATTCTTGCAAAAATAGATATACAAAGAGTTATGTGCAAGAATATGCAATATACACAAGGTGATATATCCTATATGATAGAAATATATGCAAAGATATATAAACAACACAAGGGTAAATAATCTAAATAGTATAGTGGATGAAATGAATGAGCAATGCACAATTGGCGATATAAGATAAATGCAAAAACAAATACGCCAAAGACAAACTCAAACAAGCAATATGATCACGGAGTTCGGACCTTCCGTCCTACGTCTCCGCTCCCCACTCCCGGGGAGAAATCCACTATCAACCGGGTTTTCTACGTTCACCCGAACAACGTTTACACCTCACACTCGGTTTTCTAGCTAACCGAAAACTTTACAATCAACACACTATTGTAATCCCACTCTACACCCACTAAATGTTGGACCTAGCCGTGTCTCCCTCAAGTGCTCGGTTACAACCTCTCCCTAGGCACGTCAACCGACGCCACTCCTCTTGGGACGATCCCCGACTCTCACCACACACTCCTCACTCGGTGTACAAGTGTATTACAAAGTGAATCTCACAATAAGCACAATATAACAAATGATTGTTCTCTCTAACAAGATGAGAACTCAATTAAGCTCACTCTCAATGTCACAAACCCACAACCCTAAATTATACTATGAATGTAAATACAATAAGCTCAAAAGGTTGTGTGTGAACAAAGAACAGTAAAACCCTAAACCCTTGTTTAAACACCTTGTTTAAAAACTTTTTTCTTGGTTGAAAACTGAGATCAAAGAGAGTATTTATATCCTCCAAAACCTCAGCTAAAAATCCCAAGTCAAAAGATAAAAACAGCCCCAGCAAACAGCTCAGAGAAATAGCCGTTGAAATCCAACGGATCTATTGTCGGTCAACCGGAAATTTCGTCGGTCGACCGACAGAGAGCAAAAACACAAAGAAACGATCTGGACCATCGTCGGTCGACCGGTGCGGTCGACCGATGGAGCTTTCGGTCGACCGGACCGATCGACCGACAGACTCTCTGTCGCCCAGTGATGAAAGATCAAATGATCGGTCGACCGGTGCGGTCGACCGAAAACTGACATATGAAAATCTGATATGCTGATTTAAAACACTGTTTAAAAATATCAAATAAATTCCAAAAAATGTAAAACTTTGGAGAATGATTGTAGACATGATAATAAACATGCTACAGTAACTGGTTATAAGAAAGGACCTCCCAAAAAAAAATATCATCATTTTACAAAATAGTCCAAAACATAAAAATATGAGATACTTGAATTTTGATGTTTTGACATAAACCAACTTTTGAAACTTTATGAAATATTTTTATAGACTTAGTAAAATATGTATAAACTGATATTGAAGTCTATAAACTAAGAATACAATATTTTCACAAAATTGCATATTCTATGCAATGTTTTCAAAAACACAATAGTAAATATGAAATATGTGATTTCATATTATAAACATAAAAACTCAAAAACTATATATATGTATATATATATATATATATATATGTGAAGAAACCAATAAATGTGTGTGTATAGATATTGAGCTTAACGTATTAAACACACATAATATAAACCTATACTAAGGTTACCCAAGCAATGATCTTGATCTTCATTGTGGCTCAACTTGGTACACGTTGCGGATGAAGCTTGAACTTGATCTTTAACTATGAATTGCATGTTGCTTCACTCCATAATTCCGCCAACCTCCATTTGATATGATCGTTATGGCGCAATCCATCCAACCTCCAACAACGTTGTTTGTCTACAATACATAGGAATGCACAAACACTAGACAAACAACATTAGTGGTAAATTGTTTGTTAAACATCATCAAAACAAGAAGGCCAACACTTCTATCATCAGCAGGTTTATGAATATTTTGAAATAAACTATATGATATGAAGTGCCAGGCTTGACCCGTGCATAAGACTTGTCTCATGCACAGGTCGCTGCTGTCGCGCACCCCACATTTTATGAATTTCTGTTGCAGTTTCAGGGCGTGATAGTAAGATGGTATCATATCTTAGGTTTAGGTTTCGATGATAGAAGCCTTGTAGGGCACGTTGTCATAGTGTATATGTGCTAGATGAGTGTTAGTGTATGGATCAATTATGTGATATATATATGCATGTATACATCCGTATGTACATGTATGCATATAAATATTTTATAGTAAAGCCTTTTAGGTTTGTTAATGAGTGGTTAGATGTTTATTTTATTTCACTTTGTCCTTTTTCTTTAGTAAGCTGATGGATGGTTCCCTTTTGTAGGACGACGGGAACCAATTCATCTTCCATTTCATCATCTAACCTGTCCAGCTCTATGATTTCTGTAGATAGCTCCTGGAACCTAGCTTAAGAGACTGAGGATATACTTCTGATGAAATTGACCCAAGCTTGATAGTAGCTTGCCATATGACCCCAGACACATCAGAGGTCGAGCCTATAGAAGTTATTATGATAGATTCATCAGAATCTATGGTTGATCATGCTGAGGACGAGGACATAGTAGTAGAAGTTATTCCAGTTGACTCGTCACCTTTAGAAATTATTATAATTTCATCCGACCCCTTTGATATGGAGTCCCTTGTAGCCCAGGTTCCTAGTGTTGACCAAGGACTTACCCTCTCTGAGGGTGAGTCAAATACCCTGGGGATTAGTCCAGACCTCGATCTGGAAGGATGGGGGACTTCTGGTATTGATCCTGATCCCATGTCAGACTCCAACCATAGCCAGGACACAGAAGAGATTGAGCCGACTGAGGAGTCTAGCTCTAGTAGCTCCTCTTCTTCGAGGAAATAAAGTATAACTGTTAGGGCAATTTTGTAATATTAATATATGGGTTTTCGTAGTTACTCTTTGGGTATATGTAGAACATTTTGGTAGAAAATATGTATATATGAAAACCCATATATTCAAATATATGTATGGACTAAAAGTTAAATATTAAAAATATACTTTTGGTTTGTAAATACTGACTTGTGATATTATGTTGAGCAGTAATTGAGTCCTAATTACTTAAATTGCATATATGCGACTGACTTAGGAATTTTTCTTGTATAATAGTTGACTGAAATATTTTATTATTTATAGGAAGATATGACTATAGTTGACTGAAATATTTTATTATTTATAGGAAGATATGACTTCAGGTAATGAGCAAACCCCTCCTAACGGAGATAGGGAATTTATAGGAAGATATGACTTCAGGTAATGAGCAAACCCCTCCTAACGGAGATAGGGATCTAAATCAGATGATAGGTGAAATGATGAGATCTAGAATTGCTCGTGCATCCACCTCCGGAAACTCAATAGATAATAATGCATTGATGGATCTGCTGCAAGCGATAACATCTGTAGTCACCAGACAACAAGATCAAATTGATCGTAATTGGACGAATGGTCAAAATGAGGAGCACTCAAAATTAAGAAGTGGCATGGGAGAATTTAAGAAACTATCTCCACCCAGTTTTGAGGGAACAACTGATCCTATGATTGCTGAGCACTGGATCACAGAAATGGAAAAGGTCTTCACATACATGAGATGCCCTGAAGAGGAGAAGGTTGATTATGCAGTATACATGTTAAAAGACCGCGCTTACGGGTGGTGGCAAATGCAGGTCAAGACGTTGGGTGAGAAAGCATACAAGATATCATGGGAGGAGTTTAAAAAGATTTCTTATGAAAAATATTTTCCTTCAACTGTTCGCAAACAAAAAGAATAAGAGTTTCAAAAATTGGAGCAAGGTGACAAGACAGTAGCTGAATATGAAGAAGAGTTCACTTATTTATCAAAATTTATCACTTACTTGTTGGGTAAGGAGGAGGATCGAGCACGTCGCTTTGAAGAAGGGCTTCGATCGGACATTCGGAAGGCGGTCAGTGCATTTGAACTCCCTACATATGGAGAAGTATTAAAGAAGGCCTTGTTAATTGAGAAAAATGAAATTGATACAAAACCAAAGAATGAGACGAGCAGCTCCTACCCAAAGAAGCGGTTCTGGCAAGATAATCACAGTAGAAGAAATAAAAACTGGAGAAACAAAAGGCAGAATTTTGGACGCAGAGAGGAGCAAATTCCTAACCAAAAAACCTTGAGATGTGATGTTTGTCATAAACTTGGGCATGAAGCGAAAAACTATTGGAGAAATACTGGAGCTTGTCTGAGATGTGGTCAGAAAGATCACAAAATAGCAAATTGTCCCCTACAGCAACCATCTCGAAATACCTTCCAGACTGGCCAGTCTAGTGGTGGGTATCCTCAAGCCAAGGCCTGAGTTTATTCCTTGATTGAGAAGGAAGCAGAAGCAAACAAGGATGTGGTGACAGGTACGCTAATTTTTGTGTCGGTTAATGCTCGAGTACTATTTGATTCTGGTGCATCGTATTCCTTTATTGCTGCACAGTTTGTTAAGAAAAACAAATTACTCTGTGATACCCTACAACAAGAATTGCTGGTTAGTACACCTGAAGGTAGCATATTAGTATCACATCAAGGTTGTAGGGGTAAAATTTATATTCTCGATAAGGAATTCCCCGTAGAATTAATGATGCTAGAAATGCATGATTTCGATATCATATTAGGGATAGATTAGTTATCCTTAAATCATGCTTCTATTTTATGTCGAGAAAAGAAAGTAGTATTCAATTTTCTTGGCCAACCCGAATTTTGTTTTGAGGGTGGTAAGTCTCAAAAACCCTTAAAAATCATCTCAGCCCTTAAAGCACATCGAGCGCTGAGGAGTGGATGTATGGGTTATTTAGCTTCAGTTGAGATGGTTGATGGTGAAAAATCAAGCTTGGAAGAAATACCAATTGTTCAAGAATTTCCAGAGGTATTTCCAGATAAACTTCCAGGAATTCCCCCAGATAGAGAGGTTGAATTTTCAATCGACCTAGCACCTGGTACGAGTCCCATCTCTAAGGCTCCTTGAATTGAGAGAACTCAAGATACAACTGCAAAAACTTTTAGATAAAGGCTTCATTCGGTCGAGTGTGTCACCCTGGGGTGCACCGGTGTTATTCGTGAAAAAGAAAGATGGAAGTATGAGATTGTGTATTGACTTCCGTGAGTTGAATAAGGTAACCATTCGGAACAAGTATCCATTACCGAGAATTAATGATCTATTTGATCAATTACAAGGAGCTCAAGTATTTTTAAAGATTGATCTCCGTTCTAGTTACTATCAATTAAAGATTAAGCCAGAAAATGTACCAAAGACTGCATTTCGAACCCGCTATGGTCATTATGAATTTTTAGTTTTACCATTCAGGCTCACAAATGCACCTGCAACATTTATGGATCTTATGAACAGTGTATTTAAACTTTTCTTTGATCAGTTTGTTGTGGTATTTATTGACGATATTTTGATATACTCAAGAAGTAAGGAGGAACATGAAGAACACTCGAGACAGGTACTGTACACATTAAAGAGAGAACAACTGTATGTGAAACTTAAGAAATGTGAATTCTGGTTGGAGGAAGTAGCATTTCTTGGGCATGTAATCTCTAAGGAAGGGATTTCTGTGGACCCTGAAAAGGTAAAAGCTATTGTTCAATGGGACAGACCAACTAATGTGACTGAGATCCGTAGCTTTCTTGGTATGGCTGGTTACTATAGAAAATTTGTGGAAGGCTTCTCTCGTATTGATTCACCTCTAACACGTCTTACTCAGAAAAGAATTAAATTTATTTGGTCAGAAGAATGTGAGAAAAGCTTTCAAGAGTTAAAAAGTCGATTAGTGTATGCTCCAATACTTGCATTACCCAATGGAGACACAGGCTTTGATATCTACACTAATGCCTCTAGAAGAGGATTAGGATGTGTACTTATGCAAAATGGAAAAGTCATAGCATATGCTTCAAGGCAGTTAAAGCCTTATGAGCAAAACTACCCCACTCATGATCTTGAGTTAGCGGCAGTAGTGTTTGCTCTCAAGATTTGGAGACATTATTTATATGGAGTACATTATGAAATATACACTGACCATAAGAGTTTGAAATATATATTTACCAAGAAGGAGTTGAATTTATGGTAAAGAAGATGGTTGGAACATTTGAAAGATTATGACATGACTATCAATTATCACCCCGGCAAGGCAAATGTTGTTGCTGATGCCTTGAGCCACAAGAATTCATGCAATTTAGCTTGCCTAATTACTTCTCAAAGAAAAATATTGGAGGACTTAGATCGTACTGGAATTGAAATTAGAGTCCACCAAATTGGAGTTAAATTAACAAATATGATAATACAACCTTCTTTGCTAGATGAAGTTAAAGCAAACCAGCAGAATGATCCTCAACTGTTGAAGATAAAGAAGGATGTGGAAGAAGGCACTCGAGGAGAATTTAAGATACATAAAGATGGATCATTGAGGTTTGGAACTAGAGTTTGTATGCCTAACATACCTGAGATAAAGAAAAAGATTCTAAAGGAGGCACATCACTTTTTGTATACTATGCATTATCCTAGATCAACAAAAATGTATAAAGACCTGAAAGAAATATATTGGTGGAATAATATGAACAAGAAAATTGCTACCTATATTGCAAAATATTTCACTTGCCAACAGGTAAAGGCTGAGCACCAAAGACCAGCCGGATTAGTTCATAGCTTGGATATATCAATGTGGAAATAGGAAAAGATCACCATGGATTTCGTCACTGGCCTTCCGAAATCTTTGATAAAGAATGATGTAATATGGGTAATTGTGGACCGGTTGACAAAGTCAGCACACTTTTTACCTATCAATATGAAATTTTTATTAGAAAAGCTGACTAAGATGTACATTAATAAGATAGTGAGATTACATGGTGTACCAATATCAATAGTTTCTGACAGAGATCATCGGTTCACATCAGAATATTAGAAGAATGTGCATAGAGCTCTGCAGACTAAACTAAATTTCAGCTCAGCTTACCATCCAGAGACAGATGGTCAATCAGAACGAACAATTCAAACACTAGAAGATATGTTGAGATGTTGTGTTCTAGAGATAAAAGGGTCGTGGAAAGATTATCTACCTTTGGCCGAGTTTGCATACAATAACAGCTACCAAGCTAGCATTCAGATGGCACCATATGAACTTCTTTATGGAAGAAAGTGTAGATCGCCTGTTCATTAGGATGATGTTGGAGAGAGAGAAATTCTTGGACCAAAATTAGTACAACAAGCAATTGATAAAATTCAATTAGTTTGGGAACATCTTCACACTGCACAAAGCCGTCAGAAGTGTTATGCTAATCAGAGAAGAAGAGAATTGGAATTCCAGGTGGGTGATCATGTTTTCTTGAAAGTTTCGCCTACCCGAGGAGTGAAAAGATTTGGAATTCAAGGGAAGTTAAGCCCGAGATTTATCGGTCCTTTTGAAATTCTGGAACGTATTGGTCCAGTGGCGTACAGATTAGCATTACCACTATCCCTGTCTAGAGTACACGATGTATTTCACATATCGATGCTTCGAAAGTTCATCCGAGATCCAAATGAGATCATTGAGTTGTCTCAAGTGGAGCTTTAAGCCAGATTTAACCTATGAGGAAAGACCAGAACATATTGTGGATTTTAAAGAATAAGTACTTAGACACCGAATAATCAAATATGTGAAAGTTTAGTGGAAGAATCACTCTGAAAGAGAAGCTACTTGGGAGATTGAGGATTATATGCGAGAGAGATATCCAGAACTCTTTCAAAATATAGGTATGCTAAGTTTCAAGGACGAAACTTTTTATTAGGTGGGGAGAGTGTAATACAGATAAAGATATATATATAAATAAATAAAATAATAATAATAATAATAATAATAATAATAATAATAATAATAATAATAATAATAAAATCACACATCGGTGATTTTTCCACCGCTTACCATGGCGGTAATTCTCGTCACCGCCTCCCAACAGTATATAAAGGGGAGGAAAGGGGAGAAATTCAGGTTAAAAGAAAAAGAAAAAAAGAGAGAAGAAGAAGAAGAGAAGGAAGAAGATAAGGAAGGTAGAAAATCATCCCAAGGTACAATCTACTTTTAAATTTCATAATAAATCTTAGTAAATTGAATCAAAATAAAATGAGTGAGGAAGTTAACTAGTAATTGATATGAAGTCAAAAATCTAGGGTTTGCAAAGGATTTTTTGTGTGTTTAAGATGCATGAAACAAACTGAAAAAAGAAAGAAAGAAAGAGAAAATAAACTAACCCTAGATCCAGTAAGGACCTCGTCGTCGGCCGCTCTTGGTCATTGGTACTTTCCTCGTCATTGTCCTGTAGCCATGGCGAGAGCAAGAGAGAGAGAGAGAGAGAGAGAGAGAGAGAGAGAGAGAGAGAGAGAGAGAGAGAGAGAGAGAGAGGCGAGAGAGAGAGAGAGAAAGGAAGAGAGATGCCTCAACCGAAAAAAAACAGAGGAGAAAAGAGGAACGGAAAAAAAAAAGAAAAGAAATGAAGAAGAATGGGGGGTGAGGAAGATGATCAGGTAAAGAAGTAATATAAAGGGTGGAAAATTTTCATTAAGCCCTGAACCATGAAATTTTTTGAAACAAGCCTTATAGTAATAAGTTATGGTTGAAAAAGGACTAAAAAATATTTATTAGGCCCCTGTCTTTTGTTCAGTTGTAAACAAGTTCAATCTGAGGAATAAATAATAACGTTTAGACTTGATAAATTTCCTATAACCCCCTGTCTTATCGTAAATTATTAGGAAGTCCATAAGCTAGTATACGAGAGTTATAAAATTTTGATAAATTGTTAAAGTTAATAATAAGCTCATATGTACTGTAGAATTTAATTATTATTGATTATATTTGAATTTATTAGATTATAGATTATGAATTGATTTACCTATAATATATGTTTATCATGAATTAATAATTAGTCATATATCTTAAATTATAGGTTCTGGTTGATATTCGGGAGAATAATAGTTGAGAAAGTCGTGACCACTAGAGGTGAGCTCATTTCTCACTAGTATTTTATAATATGAAATTGCATGAGTTTTATATTTGATTTATCTTGTGATAAAAAAATAATAATAAATAATATGTCTTTTCATGTATATAAAGATTTGATCTATTTCTATTGTGGTCTATCCTATAATACGATGTTAGCCTCGTACAATATATGAAAAGCCAATTTGATCTTTATGTAAAATATGAAAAAAATAAATTTGGCTCTCATGAAATTTTCAAATAATTATGGACTTTGTTTTATCTGAAAGTTTTTGATGAAGTTTTTAGAACGTATTTCAACAGCTTAACAGATTCAAAGATTTTTCGTAACTTAGTATCTGATAAAAGAAAAAAAATATCCGTAAACTGCTTTAACTGAAATGAGAAGCTTTATCTTATCAATTTCATTTGAAAATATCTGTAAATTCTGATATGCAAAGTATTACTCATTTGACATGTGATCTCGATGTTTTCAAACCCTCAAATAGTCCACTATGAATTGATTCTGCCTACCATATGGTGAATGCACCTTTATTTGGCTCTTCTGTATTGGCATTGGCCCTTCTGTATTGGCCCTTCTGAAGTTTGTTCTGGCCCCTCTGTATTTGGCCAGTAACCTATGGCAGTGTTAGGTGCATTCGATTCCCAAGAATTATCTATTATGTAATGCGGTTTATGCATTCCCTTGCTACTGTGCTATAATTCGTAGCCTTAGTGTGACCTATGGGGTGACTTTTACATTCATGAATAACTCATCAAGAAATAAGATTCTGATAATTGATTGTGAATTGAGAAAACAACAATTCTCTGGTTTTGTACAAATTAGTAAGAAATAAGATTCTGATAATTGATTGTGAATTGAGAAAACAACAATTCTCTGGTTTTGTACAAATTAGTAGTACTTTTCCTTCATAATGTTTACCTTGATTTAAAAAGGGTTTAATTCCAAGAAACTTCACGGTATATTCAGTTACACATGAGAAAGAAAATATAATTGTTGTATTTTTTCTTAAAAATGACAATATTACGATATTTGGATCGTATTTTGCTATCTTTTGAATTTCTCATGCAATAATTTGAAATTCGTTGTTTCTGAGAATTATTCTTATGACTATTTTGTTAGTTCTCCAGGAACTCTAGTGGGAAATGTTCTCACAGAGCGCTAGCTCATTCCGTTATTTTTAAATTTTTTCAGATCCGGCGTAGCTTCATACTAGCCGAACTTTTGATTTGGGCTTTTGGCTGAGAGGCGTTATATGGAGAGCCTCTTCTTTTTTATGTTACCTTCAGCACAATTTGTTTTGTTTTGTAAAAATGTTTATAACGGTGAGTTTGTGGGCTGTAAGTACCGATCATATATATAGTTGCTCTGACTTCTATCATCAGCAGGTTTGTGAATTTTTGAAATAAACTATATGGTATGAAGTGCCAGGCTTGACCCGTGCATAAGACTTGTCTCATGCACAGGTCGCTGCTTTACGCACCACACATTTTATGAATTTCTGCTACAGTTTCAGGGCGTGACATTCTCACTGCTAATTATTTGATTAATCGCATGCCTTCCTCTGTCCTTAACGGTTTAATACCATTCAATTGTCTTTATCCTGATAAAAAATAATTTTTTGTGATTTCCCGTGTCTTTGGTTCTACGTGTTTTGTTCAGGATTTAACAGCTGGTTTGGATAAGTTGTCTTCTAGATCCATCAAATGTGTTTTTGTTGGATTGTTCAGGATTTAACAGCTGGTTTGGATAAGTTGTCTTCTAGATCCATCAAATGTGTTTTTGTTGGATACTCTCGTACTCAAAAAGGATCCATCAAATGTGTTTTTGTTGGATACTCTCGTACTCAAAAAGGGTATATGTGTTATCATCCGTCCATCAGGAAATATTTTATATCTGCTGATGTTATATTTTTTGAGTTTGTCCCATATTTTTCCTTTGGTTCCACTACTATTGGTTGTCCACAGGTACCACTACTTTCTTCTGCTCCTATTACTATTCCATTACCTGCTTCTGTAGCTCCTACACCAAAGCCTCTACTAACATACTCTCACCGTTCAAAAGTACATGCTCCTGACTCTGCTCCTGTTGAACCTTCATCTTTAGCTGCTGGTCCATCTCATGTTGAGACTACTATTTCTTCTGACTTGGATATTCCTATTGCTCTTTGAAAAGGTAAACGGTCTTGCCCGAAATATCCTATCTCTCTTTTTGTTTCTTATGACCGTCTCAACCCGTTTTTTCGTCACTTTGCCTTATCCTTGTCCACTGTATCTATACCCAGGTCACATGAGGAAGCTATGTTAGTACCAGTCTGGAAACATGCTATGGATGAGGAAATGAGTGCACTGCTTTTTCAAGGGACTTAGGACTTGGTCTCTCTTCCTACTTGAGCGTCTGTGGTTGGATGCAAATGAGTGTATACCTTAAAATATCGCCCCGATGGGTCTGTTGACCGATATAAAGCTCGTCTGGTTGCTAAAAGTTATACCCAGACATATGGCGTCGACTATTTTGAAACCTTTTCTCCCATTGCTCGTCTCAACTCCATCAGAATTATTTTCTCTCTGGCTGTTAATATGAATTGGGCGATGCACCAACTAGATGTGAAGAATGCTTTCATTTATGGTAATTTGGACGAGGAGGTTTATATGGAGCAACCTTCTGGGTATGTTGCTCAGGTGGAGAATATTATCTGCAGGCTGAGGAAGGTCATCTATGGGTTAAAGCAGAGTCCTCGAGCTTGGTTTGATAAGTTCATCAATGTTATTTCTAGTGTTGGTTTCCAACGGTGTTAGTCTGATCACTTTGTCTTTCTTCGACGCACAACAACTGCTTTGGTTATTTTAGCCGTATATGTTGATGATATTCTGCTGACCAGGAGTGACTCTATTGCCTTAGTTGAGACTAAGGAGTATCTAAACCGTCATTTTGTCACTAAGGACATAGGAAAGCCAAAGTATTTTCTTGGGATTGAAGTTGCATATCAAAAGCATTGTCTATTGTTGTCCCAAAGGAAGTATGTGCTAAATTTACTAGAAGAAGCAGGTCTATTAGAATGCAAACCTGCAAGCACTTCAATGTAGGCAAATGTTGATTTATGGCGTGATGATACCTCTCTACTAGATGACGTTGGACGATATAGGAGACTAGTTGGGAAGTTAATATATTTGACAGTTACCAGATCTGATATTACCTTTGTAGTAGGTGTACTGGGCAGGTTTATGCACAAACCTAGAGAGGTTCATTGGACAGCAGCTCTGAAGATTTTGGCATATGTCAAGAGTTGTCCTAGCAAGGGATTGCTTTATAAGAAGCATGGACATACTCACATTTTGGCTTTCTCTGATGTTGGCTACGCAGGAGACATGGGAGACCGAAAGTCGACCTCAGGATTCTATACTTTTGTTGGAGGTAATCTTGTGACTTGGAGAAGTAAGAAACAAGATGTAGTATCACGATCTAGTGTAGAGGCTGAATATAGAGTAATGGCTCACACTGCTTGTGAGATGGTGTGGCTACGAAAGTTTATGACAGAGTTTGGTTTTGTTCAGCCTGGACCCATACCAATGCATTGTGGCAACCAGTCTGTCATTTATATTGCACAGAATCCTGTGTTTCATGAGAGGACAAAACATATTGAAGTTGACTGCAATTTTGTCAGAGATGCTTGGGAGAAGAAGATAGTATCTCCCATATTCACTCCATCCTCACAGCAACTTGCTGATATTCTTACCAAGGCTACTTCTTCAAAGGTGTTCTATACTATATGTGACAAGATGGACATGGTAGATATCTATGCTTCAGTTTGAGGGGGAGTGTTAAATTAAGTATTGGGTATTGGGTTAATAAGTTGTTACCCGTTAACTTTAACCCTATTTGTATGGCTATATATATCTCTCTTATTATCTCAATAAACAAGAAATCTAGGGTTTGCTCTCTATTTTTCTCTTTCTACAGGCTAAATTGTCGATAACTTCTGTTAGAGTACCAATTCGTCCGCTAAAGATGCGTTGATTTTTTCCGTCCAAATGAACCGGATTATGGCCATAACTTGTAGAATTACAATAGAAGCTGAAAGAGAGAGACTGGGAAAGGAGGAAAGAGAATGAGGGGAAGAAAAATGAAAATTCCTACAAGAAAAAATTATAGAAAACTGAAACATGTAGAAGGCAGCAAGGACAATAGGAAGCAGAAAAAAAGGAAAAAGCCAAGCTAGTAACTGTGATTCTCAAACCGAAGCAAGAGATAAATAGCTGAAACCATGTTGTTCTATCAAATGCTCTAAGCCATTACTGAATTTACTGCTCTCTTCTTCGCCACATCAAAATTTACATACTAATCTTTTGCTGACAATATACTTTGTTAACCAAAGATGTTGCTATATTTGGATGTCTTTAACTGATTTTATGCTAATAAATGCTCTTTGCTGCCAAATCATGCAGAAACTTTGTTTAGTCGGAGCCCTGAACATGCTTTCAGCGTGTACTCTGTATTGAAGTTTATAATACTTTACGGAAGTGTTGCTTGTGCTAAAAGTACTGTATAGGAGAATTAGAAGAAATCACTATGTGATAAATTTTGAAATTTCCCGTTGAAAGGAGTTGAACTGCAAGCGTATTTACAGTATCATATCTGTTTAAGCTCCTTGATTCGAATGAAATAGGAACTCTCTTACTTTTGAGATATTTTGTTTTTTAACTACAACTCTTTGCAATAACACTCAATCAATATTTGCTATTTATAGTTTACTCAAGATAAGAAAGAACTATATTATACCATCAAAATGGAGATAAAAATTGCATAATGCTCCTAACCATACAGAATAAGCGCCTCTTCCTAATAGGGAATTTGGTCTCTCAAAATCGAGCGCATGATACAAATTTGAGAATTATTTGAGATAGATATGAATGATGGATATAATCCGTTATACATAAAACTTTTATAGGCTTAGCCCATGGCATATTTCTGGGTCCAGCTGCGAGCAGTGGACTCGTATCTATATCGATCGTTCTTGCACATGTGAGCAATTTCAGGGACCAATGGATCATCAGGGTTTGGATCAGTGAGCAAAGAGCATATAGATAATAGAACCTGTTTATATCAAAGAGTGAGAAATTTCATAATATCTTGCATATCTGAGTGAATCCTGATCCAAAATCCATAAGAGATTTGGTTTTTGTTTATACTATAACTAGTAATTGGTTGTACCTTTGATATGGTTAGGGCTGGACTCCATTGATCCTTGAGGATATCTAGACATATGTTGCCATTGCTGTTAATATTTGGATGGAAGACCTTTGTCTTGAAAGCTACCTGTTGAAATCAAATTACCGCCATAAAGAGATAACAGTGTCATCATCATCACCTCATCATCAATAATAATAAAGTCTTATCCCAAGCTTTTCGAGTCACCTTTATGAATCATATTTTTTCACTCAATTATGTATGTTATTTCTTTTATTAAGTAAATCATTATCATATGCACCTGAGCTTTCGAAGGTTTGAATACTGAGTAATTCATCGGTGATTAAATGATCATTTAGACCATGTAAATTCACTTTATGTTGATAAATATGTTATGCAATCTTTATCATCAACATAGTGAGTTTTCATAGTATGAGATGAATAATTATTTACCTTGGGGGGTTTGAAGGGATAATCTGGCGGGAAATGTATGGTAACTACAAAAACACCACCAGAGTAGGGACTGTCGCTAGGGCCCATGATTGTGGCTTGCCAATGAAAAATGTCATTTGCAACTGGACCTTTAAAAAAAACACAACCACAAAAGATCAAGATTGATGCTCATATTAAACCTTTAGAGCAACTGAATAAGGAGATAGTATTACTAAAACTAGTTGTGTTACCTGCACTGCATGAAGTTGGTGGGTCTCTCTGTAGATCTTTGAGCTCCTTAATAATTCTTCTAGAAGCCATTCTACCAAATTAAGTCTTTTTGAGTTGAGAAATATCACTAGAGTGTTATATATACATGTAAGAGAGAGGTAAGGGTCACATTAATCTGTGGGGATTAGATTCTCAAAGTGGTGATAATGAGACTGGTATCTGATTCTAGTTAGAATGGAGACAGGAGAAAACGAGTGGAGAGTAATGATTGGACAGTCCCTAAGAGCCAAATGAATAACTCAATGAAGAATTTGTTTTTTCTATATGAACTCCTCTTTTTTTGGGTCTCTATTCCATTGGCCAAATCTAGCTCCTCAAGGAACCATTTCCTTCTTGGGCAAGCAATTGGCGTGGGTTGTCAGCAATCTTTGTAAAAACCGCGACGAAGTTCAGGAGAAAATGCAGGAGAATAATCTGCAGGTTTCACAGTCGACCGCGCATGGCACGGCGGTCGACCGCAAACGTGCACGAAATAGGAGTATGCCTCTGGACTTTTGACGGTCGACCGCGATTTGGGGTTCGACGGTCAACCACGTAGCGGATATTGGGCTATTTTGTTTCCTGCTCCGTTTCTGATTGGGTTTTGATATATATTAGAAACACTCATTTCTAAGGTTAAGAGAGGAGAGTTTTAACAGAGATTTGAGATTGTACTGAGCATTGTGAGAAGGAAATATTATGAGCAAGAAGAGAGCTTTGGTTTAGGGTTTATTTGAGTGATTGTGTGAGATTGTAACCTTTTGTACTCTCCTTGATTTAGTGGAATCTCCTCATCCTCTCCCGTGGATGTAGGCAAATTACCGAACCACGTATATCTCTGTGTTTGGTTTGATTTATCGTATTTTTAATTGGATTGTGCTCGTGTTTGGTTTGGTTATCTTCTCCCGTGACTCGCGGACTCGTTTGGTGTGCGAGCACGCTTCCGTAAAGGCGCACAATAATTGGTATCAGAGCTCAGATTTTAGATCTAGGGTTTTGGCATTAGGTGGAGGAAGATTCATCGAGGAAGCTTGGTTCTTGGAGTTCTAGGTTTCGGTGGAGATAGTGTTTGGGGTTACCGTTGAAGATTTCGCTTTCCTCGTGTGTTTAGAAGATCTATTTTGGAATTTGTTCTAGGGTTCAGTTGGGTAACTTCTAAATTCTATCAAGTTTAAATTTTTCTCTACAATTTGGAGTTTGTGAGTATGGGTGAAGACGTTGGTGAAAGCAGCAAGATAACGGGTACAGTTCAAGTGGGTTTTCAGAATACTAAAATTAGTGTGGTTAAATATGACGGCAATATCAATTTTGGTTTGTGGAGCGACGTACAGGATGCGGTCAATGCTCAGAATTTAGAGGAGACCATCATAGTCCATGAGAGGCCACCAAAATATGAAGAGGCGGTATGAAAAAAGATGAATAGGAACGCTTGTGGGGTGATCAGATCCTATTTAGAACAGGAGCTAAAATATGATGTGATTGGGGTAACGTCTGCAATAAAGATGTGGAAAATTCTCAATAACAAGTACCTAACGAAGAGTGTTGAGAAAAGATTGCATTTGCTGCATAGGTTATTCAGATTTCAGATGTCCAGAGGTATCTTACTAGCAGTTCATATGAACAACTACACTAAGTTATTGTCAGACTTGGCGAATGTTGATGAGAAAATATCGGATGAGTACAAGGCGATTATTTTATTGGGCTCCTTACCGGACGAGGAGTATGATACATTTATGCTTACTTTGTTGAATGGAAGATCTTCTATCAGCTATAGTAAAGTAACTAACGCTTTGATGAACTATGATTTGAGGAGGAATGACAAGGAGACTTCCCGCGCTAGTATTTTAAGAGAGGCCTTATCGATGAGAGGTAAAAGCCCATATCCGAGAGGTGGCAATAGCGGCAGGTCAAAGTCGAGAGGCCATCACCAGTTAGCAAAGAACCAATGTGCATTCCACAAGGAGCATGGAAATTAGAAGAGAGACTATCCAAAGCTTAAGGAGAAGGAGAATAAAAAGGGCTAGAAGGCCAATGAGGTGAATGTTGCGAGATGCGATGATTCAGATGATTCGAGCTTTTCTCTACTGATTACTCCGGAGGTGAACCATTTAGATTCATCAGATTGGATGCTTGATTCTAGCACTACTTATTATATTACTTCTAGGCGAGATTGGTTTGCATCATTTGAGAGACTCGATGAGGGTGTTGTTGTCATGGAAAATGATCAATCCTGTGGCATTTGTGGTATAGGTACCGTGAGGATTCGGATACACGATGGAGTAGTCCGTGAATTGAAGGAGGTGAGATTTGTTCCTCAGCTGAAGAAAAATCTTATCTTAGTTGGCTCTTTGGAGGCGAAGGGATTCAAGGTGACCTTTGAGGATGTTGTAGCAAATGTTACTAAAGGATATTTGGTGGTGATGAAGGAAAACCGTAGTTAGAACTTATATTATCTGAAGGGGAGCATCGAGATTGGCCTGGTAGCTTTAGCTATTTTAGAGGTGGACATGAGCAGACGTTGGCACTACAGGTTGGGAAACACAGGAGAGAAGTCACTGTAGGCACTGTGCAAGCAGGGACTATTGAAGGGAGCTAAGAGTGGAAAGGTTAAGTTTTGTGAGCACTGTGTACTTAGAAAGAAGACGAATGTGAAGTTTGGAACTGTCATTCATAGGATGAGGGGCATCCTGAATTACGTGCACACAGATGTTTGGGGTCCCACCAAGACTGCATCACTTGGTGGTCGATATTTATTTGTCACATTCGTTAATGACTATTCTAGGCATTGTTGGGTGTACACCATGGCAAAGAAGAGTGAATTCCTAGATATATTTGTGGAGTGAAAGAAGAGGTTAGAACTACAGACTGGGAGAAAGATCAAGACGTTACGATCCGACAATGGTGGTAAGTACACATCAGACCCCTTTCAGCAACTATGTCAAGACGAGTGCATAGAGAGACGCTTCACAGTTAGTCATACACCGTAATAGAATGGGGTAGCAGAGAGGTTGAATCGGTCTTTGCTGGAGAAGATTCGATGTTTGTTGGCGCATAGTGGTTTGGAGAAGATCTTTTGGGCTGAGGCACTTTCATATGCGAGCCACCTCATTAACTAGCTGACTTCATCTGTGATTGAGGGGAAGACCCCTATAAAGATGTGGTCGAGAGAGCCAGCACACGACTATGACCAGCTCAAGGTATTTGGGTGACCTGCATACTATCATGTTTATAGGATCCAAGCGTGGTGTCAAGTGATACAAGCTATGAGATCCAGTTGATAGGAAGATTGTGCTAAGTAGAGACGTCACGTTCGATGAGGTTTCTATCTTGAAGCTTCCCAGCTCTCATCAGGTGGAGAGTGTTTGCGTCAAAAGTTGACTTTATCATGAATTCATTATATCTTCGGTCGATTACAATAAATTCAAAAAAGAAATAGCCTTTTTATAAGACTCCTTTTACACAACAAAAGGAAAAATTACAACTCTTGAGAAACAAACACAGGATCATTGTTTGGATCGCTGCTTGCGTGGGATCTTTGCCTGTGCCGGGAGCGCTTTGACTCGTGGACCACCAAATCACAGATTCTGATTGAATCGTGAGGGGTTTAATGATTCTTCCTTCGTTTATCGAAGTGAGAATTTGAAACGATATCTTATCAAAGTAAGATAGTCGTTCTTCTTGAAATCAAGTCAAAGCTCAAATCTCAAGGGATTGCCGGAAGCTCAAGAACTCTGCGTTCCCCATGTTCTTTGACAGTTAATGGCCACGTGTCGGCGGTTTATAAAATAGTTTCTGAGCCTTTGATAACTGTCTCGCGTGCGAGACAGCAAACGCTGTCTCGCATTTCAAGACAACAAACACTGTCTCGCGTGCGAGACAGCAAAGTCTGTCTCGCGTGCGAGACAACAAAGTCTGTCTCGCGTGCGAGACGGTCTATGTCCTTTTTTCTGACTTTTTGGATGAATTCCTTCTTGAGCTGTATTTGGATATCTTTCGGCATTTTTTAACGCCTACAGAGAGCGACCCGACGGAGGAAATATCACAGGTGGTGGAGATCGATGTAGCTCCACATTATTCAGATAGTACAGTATCCATTAGGGTGCCGACTGAGGTGACGTCAAGCAAGCATGATGGTGATTTGGGGGATACAGGTATAGACGTGCAGGATCTGGAACCGACGGCTCAGGTTTAGAATTCTATTGCGGTTCGGAGACAGAGGAGAGACATACGGATGCCAGCACGGTATACAGACACAGTAGTTATATATGCACTTCCGATGGAGAGTATCGATGAGTTTGTGCCTACTACATTCAGAGAGGCCGAGCAGAGTTTGGAGGCTAATTCGTGGTAGGTAGCTATGTAGGAGGAGATGGAGTCTCTTCATGAGAACGATACATGGGAGCTTATTGAGCTTCCAAAGGGGCGGAAGGCGATTGGTTGCGAGTGGGTATACACGAAAAAGGAGGGCATTGAAGGCACTCCAGTGAGGTTCAAGGCTAGGTTGGTTACGAAGGGCTAGCACAGGAGAAAGGTACTGATTATAATGAGGTTTTCTCTCTGGTGGTAAAGTATTTTTCAATTCGGATTTTGCTAGCTTTGGTGACACAGTATAGTTTGGAGTTAGATCAATTGGATGTGAAGATGACGTTTTTTCATTGTGATCTTGATGAAGAAATATATATAACTCAGCCATTGGGATTCCGAGCTGCAGGGAAGGATAAGTTGGTTTGCAGGTTAAAGAAATCGATATATAGTTTGAAGCAGTCTCCTCGATAGTGGTATAGGCGATTCGATGGATTAATGATCGATCATTCAGACACTCGTAGCCAGTTTGATCCTTATGTGTATTTTCGCAAGTTTAAATGAGGTGCGTACATTTATTTGTTGCTTTATGTTGATGACATGTTAGTTGCCTCTATTTCTAGGTCTGATATAGATAAGTTGAAGATTCAGCTTTCAAATGAGTTTGAGATGAAGGATTTAGGTGAGGCTAAGCGCATTTTAGAGATGGAGATCGGCAGAGACAAAGAGAAGGGCATAATTCGTTTGACAGATGTGACTTATTTGAAGAAAGTTCTACA